ATAACATGAGTCACTGTCATGTCATATGAAATGGTGAATAAATAGTCACGCACTTTTTTGCGCGTATAATAATACAAAAGGAAATAGTCAGAGAGCACAAATTTTGACTATTCCGGATCAGTTCCAAAGAAGAAAAAAGCGAAAATACTCAAAAACTAATATCTAACTCAACCTTGGTGCACTAATCAAAAATGTCAGGAACGCGATTTTACATATAACGAGCGATAATCTATTGCCATAGTCTCTAATCTTAACGCCCTAACCCATAAATTTATATCTTTACGCATTTAGTCTATTTACAAAATTCGATTGGTTTGTGTTATCCGCGCAAATAAGTAAAACCGACATGCTAGCCCCCTATTGATTTCATGCTTGAACTCATATATGATAAAACTCCCTTAGACAATACAATAATAGCCTATAAAAGGTTAAAACGACAAATTAAGTATGTGATCCAACGGATCTTACAATAATAGATGCTTTGTTACTTTGTTGACAAGCACTTCAGATCGGAGTAACTAAAATTATTCGATTTTTTGTGCTAATCATTATCTTTAATATTACTACACATCTTATTTTAATTAGCGTTAATGGATTTTAGTGCAAATGCTTCTTTAATTTTTAACCATTTAGTATTTAAAGGCATTTAAATGCGGATTACATTATTTTACGAACGAAAAAAGAAACATCAAATTTTCAGTGCCGATAATATTTTTAGGATTTGTGCTATATAGACTTTACATCAAAACTTCTTTAGCTGCACAACTAAAAGAGTCAGATGCTTGCATAACATAAATTCAATGGACAATCTCTTTTAGGATAAAGAAATAAATAGGTTTTTAATTTATAAGTGAAATAAGATGGCCGAAATCAAAATTAAGAAAGTTTTAAGTATCTTAAAAGCTGATAAGAAATCGTTAATGAATAATAGCTTTCCTCTAATATACTACACATCTGAACAATTTTACCATTCAATACAAGATATTAAAAATGAAATTGAAAGCAGGGGTTTTTTTATCATAAAAGCTTGGGATTTTAATATTACAACGCTCAAGAATATCTCGCAAGCTCTAAAGACTATTCAATCTCATGTTCGTTCTGATTATGATAGTATTGTCAGTGAATCAGACTCGAAGTATTCTAGCTGGAAAAATTTTAAAGAAGAGTATCAAGGTATATCAAAAGAAGTGGCTATCTTCCCTCATAAAGATGGAGCCCAAACTACAATGGTAAAAATATCTTCCCCTAAAATACTTTTGCTTCAACCCATCGAATATGATGCTGAGGGCGATAAAATCATATTTGTTGACGGCAAGAAAGTATTGGAATCAATCTTGACAAAAAGACCAAAATTGGCTGAGACTTTAATGAAAGCTGGATATATAGCTTTTTGCAGGGATAACCATATATCTATGAATTACTCTGTCTATAAGCACATGCAAGATGATAGCATACGTGTGTACATTTTCGATAAAGTTGTAAAATTCCTTCATAACAATTATCATATGAATCCAGAATACCAAGTTAAAGTCTACCTTAAAGAAAAGGATCATATTTTAATAGTGGATAATCATAGAATTTTGCACAGCCACGATGAATTTGCTGGAAATTGTAAATTACGTCGAGTTTTGTTAAATGATGATAACCCTATTATTCTTAAAAATAGTTGCACTACTATGCCATATGCATCTTATGTACCACTTAATAATAATTACGCTTCCAAATACAAGAAAATAAATACAAGTATTAGATTAGACAAAAGTTTGTATAATAAAGGAAAAAATATAAGTTTTAGAAGTTATTATAAATTTCATATTATGAATTTCGTTACGCATTAATTTCCTGTGGTCATTTCCCCGAAAGGCCATTTAACCAACAATTATACCACGTGAAAATTTTAACAAAGTATAACTCCAACTAACAAATACTCAATTATCGTCCTGTGTAATGTAGGTAAGATGGCCTGTCAGGGAAATGACTGTCGAGAAGTCGAGCAACATTCCTGAATTTAAAAAATTCAGCCTAGTTGCTATTTTGTACCAAGCACTTCAACCTCCTATAATTGATGGAATTCGGAAGCCATTAAAACCTGGAGGTTATAGTAATAGCGGAGCTGATATCGCCTATTCTTTGAGATCCAACAATATTCCTATAGTTACCCCTGTTGATAATTCTAGTCCAACTTCTGATTTGGATTGGGTTTTTCCTGACACAGAAGAAGGAATAAGTACTGCCATTTCAAAAGGTGCAAAGACTCTTTGGGCAAATACTCTTCTCTTCAATATTCATCCATTGAATCATATGAACTTTAGAGAAGATATTAAGCTTGTTGGTCATCTTCCATCAGATGTACACAAATATAATAACAAATGGTTTGCTAATGAATTAATCAAAAACAATGGAATTTTGGTTCCTCGTGCAATTCTTATTGGAAACTCTACATATAATGGTACATACCGATTGAATGATATAACCTTGGATATTTTAAATATGAAAGGCATCCGATTTCCTGCTGTTGTTAAACCTATATGTGGCCGGGGAAGTCAAGGCGTTAAAAAGATTGATTCTATTGAACAAATGAAAGAACATGCAGAAAAGCTTTTATCCACTGGAACTGTGATTGATGGTCAATATTGCTTTGAGTATGGAGATACTTTAATTCTTGAAGAATATTTGGAAGGAGAAGAGATCACAGCTACCATTATGCCTCCTGGAATATATGATATTAATTTTAAAAATGCCATTTTTAATAAATATTGGCACTTACCATTAGTAAAGAGATTTAATCATAATAATGGTATTGCTCCATATAGTGGAGTTGTTGCTGTAATTGAGAATAGTACACTTATTAGCAATGAAGAAGCGCAGAGTCCAATATATAAACAAGTCGCTCAAGATTGTGAAAAAGCTGCACAAATCATGAGGCCATTAGCTCCAATTCGTATAGATTGCCGCAGAATAACATCAGAAAAACCATTTGCTTTGTTTGATATAAATATGAAACCCAACATGACAGGACCTGGCCGCCCTGGACGTAATATTCAAAGTAGTTTAAGCTGTATAGCTGCAAATGGCATAGGATGGAACTATCCAGACCTTCTGAAGGCTATGTTGCGTCAAGCATGGCCGATTAAGAAATTTATAAAGTGAAATTTTCAATCATTACTATTGAAATATATTGGCTTAGATATTATTGAAAGTAGTCTGACTAATTGTACTATAGTTATCACATAATTTGTAATTATAATATACATAATAAAAGACGTAGGCAAAAGATGCCACCCTTAAAAAAAAAAAAAAAAAA